TGCCTCCAAGACAGCAGTATGATAAAAACGAACCTGGACATACAGTTCTGGGCTGGGGAGAGGCACCTGCACTTGGAGGTTGAACTGAGCATGCCACAACTGAGTTACTGGGGACTGGGCATCTCTGTTAATGCTTCTTTACGCTCCCTGAATAGTTCTGGGAGGTCAGCACTCCACAACACCCTCCCCACCCACCACTGTCCCTCTACAATCAGTACGCCCATCAATCTCAATAACGTTTTCTGTAAAGCTTACAAAATATTGTACGTTCACTGTGTGAACATAGTGATATTGTGTCCTTGTCTATGCATGGTGCCTTGAGGTGTAGCAGAAATGATAACCCAGAAACGGAAGACTCATTCATTCGTTTACTCAGACTTTCATTGAGTGGATATTTTGTTTTAGGCACTGAGACTGGTATTAGATATTCATTTGTCAATAAACCAAATGCGATTTCAGCCCTCCCAGAGACTACAGGAGTGGGTGTGTGTGTCTGTGTGTGTGTCTACATTGGGAGATGACCACTAAATAATTTGATACACAAAAGATATGTATTTATAATTTGTGATAAATCATAGGTAATAAAGGAAGAAAACACTGTGATGGAGAAAAAAATGGAGTGAAAGGGAGGATGTCTCTGTCTACTTTAGACTGGGCTATCAGGAATTTTGCATTGATTGAACACATTTACTTGTTACAATGCTGATGTCATGCTTTTCATCTCTAGTATATTTTTGTGCACTACTATTCACTATCAGAAAATGACCTTTACTCCCAAACATGGTTTGCACTCATTTCTAATATTCTAAAACTATTGCATTTGGGTTGGTTACCAAAAACAATAATGATTATGTTTTACTTTTACCATCTGCTTAGTTATTGATTCATGATGATGTGCCATTAGCTAAATTTCTATTAATTAAAAAAATTATGTTCTCATGCTCACCTAGCTTCACAAATTGTCTCATTATCATTATTCTTTTGATGATAGAATAATCATCAACTTTAATTCATCGGACAGATGGATCATACTGAATTGTTCTAAGATCTAACGTATAATAATGTCCAAATTACTAAGCGCTTTTTCACATACCATCACACTTAATTCTCATTTCACCCCGGAGATGTCTTGCTACTCCCACATTACTGATGAGAAAACAAAGGGTAAAAGAAGTTAAACATCAGTTCAAAGTTATACCAATATGACTGGCAAACATAAAAACCCAACTCTTTTCACTTCAGAGCCAGTGCGGGTTCCCTGTTGGCCCAGCTTTCTCCACTACTCGTACTGGCTTGCTTTTGGGCCCCACCAATGTTCTGCTTCCACACACTGGTTATTCTTACCTTGATATATTTTTAACTTTTTTTTTTTTGACTTAATCCTGTATGTCCACTTATTTGGTATTTCTGGATAATCACCTGCTCAGTGGAGCTAGCTGCATTGGTAAGACACTTCTACTTCCCTTGCCTCAGTCCTTCCTTCTGGAAAGTGAGAATTTGGTAGCATCTTCCTCAAATAAGTATTCAATGAGGTAATACATAATACGTATAATATATATCTTTTTAAAGTGCCTGCCACCTAAGTGTTCAGCAAATACTAGTTTTTAATCTCTTCTCTCAATACGAGAAATAAGACCATTATTTCTTTTCAAACATGGCTTTGCAATGTCTACATAGTATAAAAAGCTCCATTATGCAAGAAGGAATGCTCCATATTAGGGATTATCTCCTGTTCACTGTAGATCTTCCACCGTTCAAGTGCCATCAAAATGCCCTCACTGGTAAGCACAGGAACTGGATAAAAAGGCACTGAGGTCAGACAAAAGGGTCTTGTAGTTAGCAAAAGCTCCAGACTCCACTTGCCGACATCCACTTCAGAACTCCTCTTTGGAAAGTCTTCTCAGTCCCTGATTTAGTTGTGTAAATGAACTTCCCCTCCAAGTAGTTTTAGACGGGAGACTGGATTTGGACAGTTGAACTGGCCACATCATAAAATATAGAATGCTGGTTTCAGTACCTGTGCCTCAGCAGGAAAGCGACTGCCAAGAAGCACTGTCCTCCCTTTTCCAGCTCTCTCTTCTCCAACAAAAGGAATAAGACATCAGGATCCTTCCTTCTTCCTTATCCTGTCTGCAGCTTTTGACCTTTTTATGACTTATTAAAACATCTCCACAAGCAAAGGCAGAGAATGCTTGAATGTCTATGCTTTAGAAACACCAGCCAAAATTGTGAAGGCAGCCCACATTGGAAAAAATTGATAAAAATGAGATCCTTGAATCAGCAGATACGATTTAGGACATTCCTTCTTTTCTCATAGGAATGCAAGGGGGACTGCAGAGTGTAGTGAATAAACAAAACTAAACAAAAAAACAAAGTCTGTGAACCTGGTGAGTTTTGAAGCAGCATGTTAGTTTTGTCAATGATCAGACTTGTGATTTCAGATAACTGCTCTAAGCCTGGGTATCTTCACTTGTCAAATGGAAAGGAAATCTGCTACATTGTAGGTAGTTGTCAGACATAATAAGAAGTGCCAATTACAGAACTTGGCATATGATAGGTGCTCAAAAAACGGTAGCTCTTAGTATTATCTGGAAATACCAATTATACACAATGATAGCCTGGAAAATAAAACAATGTTAACTTTCAGAGCGCAATCTTAAATATATGAACAAGGAATTTCTTGCTAATCCTTGTAGGAAGGTGATTAATGATATCCTTATTCCTAAATACTATCAATAAGTTATTTCAGGTTTTGGTGTCCTTGACATCTTGTTACCTCTTGTAACTAAGCCTCCTTGGAAAATCCTCTTTGCTTGGTTTCATGGCACAGGGATAGCCAGAATTCTGATAAAATTCATTTAAAAATTGGCTCCAATCCTGTGCCCCCTCCTGGTTCTTCAGTGGGGCAGACTAACATAATTATCTTCTATGGAGGAGCAATAGGTTTAGTGGGATGGAATTATAAAGGGCTTCTGCCCTCCGCTTTGAGGTTATTTGGGACTTTTTCAGTTTAGTGTATTATCTGTTACTGTAATGTAATTTTCACAATTTTGTGTTTTTTTTGTGTGTGTGTGATTGTGCATAATGAATATGTATTTTTTCCCAGCTACTTCACAATGATACAACCCTACATTTCTCACCAACTGACATTTTTTGAAGACTGCATTTTTGTACCTCGTTCACCATGGTAAGCCAAAGTTAGTATTTGTATTGTGCAGTATTCTGCAGTAGAATCCTTCCTCATTCTGTACAGAGGAGCGGTATAACTTCATGATTAGCAGCATAAGCTCTAGAGCCAGATTACCCAGGTTTGAATGCTGGCTTTACCACTGTGCGCCTTAATAACAGTGTGCCTTAATTTTCTCATCTGTAAAATGAGTATAACAGTGTTACCTCATAGACTCGTGAAAATTAAACTAGTTAAATAATGTGAAGTGTTTTGAAATTGTTCAAGGTACAGAAAAATGCCTATTAAATGCAATGTATTATGGACATACACTTTCCCTAGACACTCTTCTGTATACCGGTGTATTCTCTTAGTCTGTTCTCACACTACTATAAAGAACTACCTGAGACTGGCTAATATATGAAAAAAAGAGGTTTAATTGACTCAAAGTTCCAGAGGCTATATAGGAAGCATGGCTGGGAAGCCTCAGGAAACTTACAATCATGGTGGAAGGGTGAAGGGGAAACAAGCGCCTTCTTCACATGGTGGCAGGAGAGAGAGAGAGTAAAACAGGAAGTGTGATACACTTTTAAACCATCAGATCTTGTGAGAACTCACTCACTATCATGAGAATAGCAAGGGGGATTCTGGCCCCATGATCCAATCACCTCCCACCAGGCCCCTCCTCCAATTTGACCTGAGATTTGGGTGGGGACACAAATTCAAACCCTATCAACTGATGACATTTGAATCTATTTCTTCAACCCAGTCTCTCTCTGGAACTCCAGGGTAATTCCCATTTCACAGCTGAATATATTCATTTTCATATGCAAATGAGAAGATGTCATTTCCTTCTCTGAAATGCCTTTATTTGTGACCTCCATGGTTCAGGAAATGTACCCTCATCCAAGCAGCATCTCAGCCAGAACTCGGGCATCATCATTCTGACTCCTTCATCACATTTACTAGTCATTATGTCTTGCCTTCTAATTATCTTTCTAGTGTGTCTTTTTTTTAAATCCCCATTGCCTCTACCTTACTTCAGGCCATCAGACTTTATTGTTTAGTCACTGGATGACCCTTGGAAATGAATCCACCCGTTTGCCCCATGTTGCCTGATTCCATTCTTTTCATGACTGCCAGAGTGATTAATCTGAAGCCACAATCTAAACCTATTATTCCTTGGACTAAATTTTTTCAGTGGTCTGCTGATGTCTCTGATTAAAACTTAAGTTCAAAGCTTGGTTTTAAGACTGCCACAGTCTGGCCACACTTCACCTCTCCTGCCACAGAATTTGCTCTCTAGCCCAGGGAAGTACTTGCAGCTCTCTGCACCATAAACTTTTTCAATCTCTGGTACTTTGCATATGTGGTCTGTTTTAAGACAATGTTTCTCCTCTTTCTTCCTTCTCAAGTGATTGATACATGCTTGTCCATTAAGATTCAGAATTGACATTAGGTTCATCTATGAAAGCTTCCCTATTACCCAAGATTGAATTGAGGGCTTTTCTTATGTGTTCTCACAGCACAGGAATCAGCCCTTTGTGGCATTTGCAATATAGTATAGTGGGTAGCTTCTTGGTGATGAAGTCAGACTGCCTTGTTTGAATCTTGGCTTTGTCACTTAGTAGTTCAATAAGCTTTAACTTAAGCTTTAAGTTCTTTAACCTCTCTGTGCCTCACGGTGATATTAATAGTTCCTGGGGTAGATGGAGAAAATGATTACAAATTCTTCCCTTCTCTGTATCTACCTTGCCTTAGATTTTTCAGGCTGTTATAACAAAATGCCACACCTTGAGTAGTTTAGAAATAACAAAAATTTAATTCTCACAGTTCTGGAGATTGAAAAATCCAAGATCAAAGCGCCAGCAGATCCAGTGTCTGGTGAAGCCCAGATTTCTAGCTCATAGTTGGTTCCTTCTCGTTGTGTCCTTACATGGTAGAAGAAATGAGTTAGTCCTCTGGTCTTTTTTTCATAAGAGCATTAATCCCATTTATGAAGGAAGAACCCGTATTACCACATAACCTCACAAAAGACCACCTTCAAACACCATTGCCTTAGGGTTGGGATTTCAACATATGAATTTGGGGGTACACAAACACTGAAACTATAGCATATCCCTTTCCAACATGCCATTGTAATTTCCTCCATCAAAGTTAAACTCTTTCTTCTTTGAATCTGGGCTGGTCTTGTCACTTGCTGTGGCCAATGGGACAGTAGCAAAGGTGTCCCAGGCAGAGGCTTGGAAAATGCTGTACCATGGCACCTACTCCCTCTTGCTGCTCTTGGGAACTCTGCAGCTACCATCAAATGAAGAAGTACAGGCTAGTCATTGGGATAGTGATAGAGACATGGTCCAGTTGTACCCATTACTCCAACCACTTGCATGATATGTAAGATGGCCATATCATTGCCAGCTGGCCACAGATGCCTGAGTGATCCCAGATGAGCACAGCCTACATTGGCAGACCACAGAACTGTGAGTTAAATAAATAATTATGTTAAGCCATTACGTTTGGGGGAGGTTTCTTATATAGCAAAAACTAACATATGACTCATGGGTCATGAATATTGGATAAGTTCACACATACAAAATACATAGAGAGTGCTATATAAGCATTCATTTTTCTTACTAAAGTTGCTTATTTCCTTGTGCAAGTCTACCACTAGAATGCTGGCTCCCTGAAGGGACTCTTTCTTTTCCCCTATTACCTCTTCCCCACACAGTGTCTGACTTGACATGTGGTATGAATGATTCAAGATTCTTAGGTCGTTGTCAAAAATCAACAAAGGAAATAAAATATAAATGACTTCTCATATCAGATGACCTTGTTATCCAGTAGTCCATGATCTTATTTCTTTATCCCCACTCCCCTCACCACCACCATCCCTGAGTTCTTACTGACAACTTGAAACCTAATGAGACAATAAACAGTTGAATCCATAGGAGTACAACCGACACAAAAGTGAAACAAAGTTGTCTCACTAAAGTGCAGTGAATTGATTGTGATTGTGTCTTTAAAACTGAGTCTGTTCCCATGATTAGGGGTGTATCTTTCATTGCATGTTCCCCCAACTCTCCCTAAATCCAAGTGTGCTTGTTCTGTAAGTATTCACTCTTCCAACATAGTTAGATTTTCTCTTTTTGATACCATTTTATCACATCACCTATCTAAAAGACTCTGGACTTTAAAAAATCTAATGGCATTGACACTTAGACGGTCTCAGTCTTCCTTTTCCGTTATTTGCTTCATTTGTTGGCAGGTTGTTAACTAACACCTGAATTTGAGTGTCAAGTTCTTCATCTATTTTAATGTGTACATGCGGCAGTTTCACTATTCAAGTCTGACAGACTGTTAGACGGAGTTTTGAATTTTCTAGGCCCAGACTGTGGCATTTTTGGTTTTTTACCTTACTCTGAAGAAATAGGTTCTCAGTCTTCCTATAACACCTATAATTTGTATAAAGAATTTTAATTTTACTAATGAATTTTCAAACAAAACAAATTAAACATTAATTCTCCAAAGTACCAATTTAATGAATAAAGCTTAAATATACCGAGATAATTAACTTCCTTATCAACAATATTATATAGTGCTTTGAGCCACGCACGCATCAGAAATACGTATTTCTCCTATTTCTTTTTTCCTTTTCAAAGACTTTATGTCTTTCAATTAGATATTGGAAGAAAACAGTCATTTAGAATAGCTTTCAGCTATGTCCAACTTTTGGTTAAAAAGAATATTCTAGGCCCAGTGCGGTGGCTCATGCCTGTAATCCCAGCACTTTGGAAGGTCGAGGTGGGCAGATCGCCTGAGGTCAGGAGTTCGAGACCAGCCTGGCCAACATGCAGAAACCCTGTCTCTACTAAAAAACACAAAAAATTAGCCAGGCATGGTAGCGGGCACTTATAATCCCAGCTACTTGGGAGGCTGAGGCAGGAGAATCGCTTGAACCTGGGAGGTGGAGGTTGCAGTGAGCAGACATCGCACCATTGCACTCCAGCCTGGGTAACAAGAGCAAATCTCTGTCTCAAAAAACAACAACAAAAAAGAATATTCTAGAAACGGATTCATTTAGTTATAACAAAATCTCTTTGGGACAGTTTTATTCAAACTGTTAGCAGACAAACCAGTAAATTCTTACTTTTCAAGGACTGACTTTTAGTCTTCATGCAGGAAAATGAGCAATTAAAGAAAATACAAGGATGAAAGATATAAAGTAATTTGGAATTTAATGGACCTATCTACTAATTATAACATATTTAAGTATAGAACCTAGAGATACGGAATTTAGGTAAAATCTTTTTGGCATTCACCTCATTAATGATATTTAAGTTTTTGCAGAGCTGTCTGGTTAAACTAAATCTCCATTCTGAAGCGAATCCTCTAATCACTTCTCCTGCTACCTACAGAATGTAGCCAGTGGATTTCCTGAAGTCCACAAGTCAGGGGTCATGGCAGTGAAGTGAAATAATGACTTTACATTTGTAATATGGACTCATCCTGCAAGACAAAGTTGCAAGGCAAACCTGAATTTTGATGCTTAGAGACTTACACTTCATGTGGCAGTATTCCAGCTTTTATAAACTTGGCAAACCTTATAGAAGCAAGTGCTGAAAGATATCAGACGATGAAGGTTTGTGACCTGGCTGCATCCCACGTGTCTTGTGAAAATAAGTCTCTTAATCTCCACGGGCTTCAGTTTCTTCTTCTGCAAAATGGGGATTATAAAATTTGAGCTGTCAACTTTTCAGAGTTGTAAAGATCAGATGAGGAATTGAATATAAAAATCCCACAGGAAGGTTGGAATTAACTTGGCAGCTCTAAAATGTTTACCTCATTTTTGTTTCATTATGGCATATTAATATTTCCTTTAATGTTAGGATCTCAAAGAAGATTATTTTACCTGATTATTATAATACAAGAGATTAAGAATCATAAATTTGCAAGTGTAGTCCAATGATCAAGGTTAGGTTGAAACCTAATGAGATAATAAGTGATTCTATTCACGTGAGTAGGGCTGGCATAAAAGTGAAGCTGGATTGTCTCATTAGGGTAAAGTACAGTGAGCTGATTGTAACACTAGCCTCTTCTGCTCAGTGGGCTCTGCATGGCTCCAAGGGAGCCTAATGTAAATAAGTAAACAAACACAAAGCTGTGTCCAGTGTGTTGTTGAGCAGGACTTCCCACTTTTTTTTTTTTTTTTTTTAAGGCAGGGTTTTTCACTCTGTTACCTAGGCTGGAGTGCAGTGGTGCCATCATAGCTCACTGCAGCCTCGACCTCCTTGGCTCAGGCAATCCTCCTCTCTCAGTCTCTTGAGTAGCTGGGTGCCACTACCCACAGGTGTAAGCCATTATGCCTGGCCAATTTTTTTTGAGTTATTTGTAGAGACGGGGTTTACTATGTTGACCAGACTGGTCTCAAACTCCTGAGCTCAATCAGCCTTCCTACCTCAGCCTCCCAAAGTGCTGGGATTACAGGCATGAGCTACCATGCCCAGCCTTCTCACAGTGTAATATGCTTACCTGGAACCACCTGAGGATGTTGTTAAAATGATGACAGTGATTAAGAAGATCTGAGGCAGGCCCCAGATTCTGAATGCCTCACAAGCTCACAGGTGATGCAGATGTTGGTGGATTTCAGACCACACTTTCTTGCCTCTAGTGTAGAGTAGTGATTTCTCAAAGTATGATCTTAGGGTATGTATTAGTCTGCTTGGGCTACCACAACAAAATATTACAGGCTATGTGGTTTAAACAACAGAAGTTTACCTTCCCACAGTTCTGCAGGCTGGAAGTCCAAGATTAAGGTGTCAGTAGAGTTCTATTTACACCGAAGGCTCTCTTCCTGGCTTGCAGATGGCTGCTGTGTCCTCACATGGCCTTTCTTCTGAGTGATTTCTCTTTTCTCCTCTTCCTCGAAGGCCACCTCTTCCTCTAAGATTAGGCTTACCTATCTAAACGATGGACTTCAGTTAAAAATAATGTATCATTGGCTCAATTGTAAAAACGTACTACACTAATACCAGATGTTAACAATGGGAAAACCCGGGGAGGGGTTCCTGGAGAGGGGGTACATGGGAACTCTGTATGCTCATTTTTTTTTGAAAACCAGAAAGTGCTCTAAAAGTCTATTAAAAAATAAATTATATTCTAAGACCTCCCTGCCAAACTCAGTGAATCCATCCATAGGCTGTAGCAGAGGAGTTTTTAATCTAACAGTTTAGGTGATTATTATGTATGTTAAAGTTTGAGAACCATCAAGAAGCAATTGGAAGCTCTCGTGTTTTAATCAGATAAATGTGATTTCAAATCTCAGCTGCACCTCTTCACAGCTGACTGTCCTTGGGCTACTTAACCTCCCTGAGTCTCAGTCTCATTTTAAAATCAGGGTAAGAATAAGTATGTATGATTTTTCTTAGAACGAATTCATACAATGACATAGAGTTTTTAACACAGTGCATAGATGCATAAGTGTAAGTGCTCAACAATTATGAAATAATAGAAGTTTTACTGTTACTGCCTAAGTTATGGTGAGCCAGGGAGAATTGTGGAAAATGTAAGGGACTTTCAGAAAAGACAAAGCAATAAAGGTAATAGGCAATACAAAATCAGAAAATAATAAAAGTAATCCTGGTTGCTTCTATAACATTCCATTGTTTACATATAGCTTTCACTTTCATTCCCTGACTTGATCCTGACAATGACCTTGTGAGGCAGAAATTCCCCTTTTTACAGAAGAGGAATTGAAGCTTAGAAATGATCAGTGACTTTCTGGAGGATGTAGAACTAGGAAATGTCAGAGTCTAGAGCATCAAAATTCTAGTCCAGGGTGACAGTACAGTGTAGTAATTAAATTTGGGGGCTCTTGAGTCAGACTGTCGGATTCAAGGCCCAGAGATACTGATTACTATTATAAAATTGGCAAACCAGTTCCCTTCTCTGAGGCTTAATTTCTTCACTAGTTAAATAGGGATAATAACAGTACTTATCTCCCAGGGCTTTGTAAAGATTAAATGAAATAATGTTCATAAAATCTGAGATTCATGGCTGGCACATGGTGAGTCTTCTATTTCTGCACTCAATTTTTAATATGGTTCCTTGAGGGAAAAATACGCATCCATGCTATACAAAGAGTAATCTAGGGTTAGTCAGAGGAGGTGGAAATCTGTGTATGTGTCTTGAGGATGGGGAGAGGGGCTGAGATTGCTACAGCCTCGGAGGAGTAATAAGATGCTGGCACAGCACGCTGTGGCCTATGAAGCTCTTCTCTATAACCATTTGAAGTACTTAAAGAGCCAATAAAGAGACAGTACAAGCAAGACAGAGACATCCTGGACTTTTGGTCCCAAATATCAAAAATGATGATAAATGCGGCAGTAAAAAGATAATTATTCTGTGATGTTTGACAATGACTAAGAATCCAAGTAAAAAGGTCTGAACTTGGAATTTATAGTAGATAAAATCCCTTATGAATATTTTGGAAATATATTAATGTATTATTATATAAAAATTATATTATATAATATATAAATTATATTATATAATATGTAATACAATACATATTTATATATTAATATATTACAAACTTCTTCAGCATAGTGTCTACTTTACACGATTTGGTTGTCTTCTTTATAATTAGTCAAGGGGTAAACATTTAGTAGGGCCAACATGGGCAGATACTCATTGGATAAGATCTGAAAGGTAGTTTGGTCCAACGAAATGTTCTGCATATTTTGGAGATGAAGGAGTTGTGTATTACCTCCCACACTGTGAGGGAAGGTTGCTTAGACCTGTTATAGAATATAGTGGTGCCATTTCTTCTTTGAGTTCATCATGACAAAATATGATGATGATGATAATGGTGATAACTATTACGACGGTAGGTCTTACTGACTCTATGTGCCAGGAGCCATCCTAAACACTACATATGCTGCCTCATATAATCAATCTTTCCCAACAGTTAAGTAGACCCTCCCCTCCCCTTTCCTTTCCTTTTTTTTTTTTTGAGACGTAGTCTTGTACCGTTGCCCAGGCTGGAGTGCAACAGCATGATCTTGGCTCATTGCAACCTCCGCCTCCCAGGTTCAAGCAATTCTCCTGCCTCAGCCTCTTGAGTAGCTGGGATTATAGGCATGTGCCACCACACCTGGCTAATTTTTGTATCGTTAGTAGAGACCGAGTTTCACCATGTTGACCAGGCTGGTCTCGAACTCCTGACCTCAGGCGATCCCCTCATCTCGGCCTCCCAAAGTGTTGGGATTACAGGCGTGAGTCACCTTGCCCGGCTGAAACTATTATTTTCTTCATTTTAGAGTGAGAAAATTGAGGCAGGTTATTAGTCCTCAAACATACAGCTTGTTCACAGTTGGAACTGGAATTCCAACCCAGGCTGCAGAATCCAAACCAGCATGCTCGGGTAGCTTTAGCTTTAGAAGTCATCATATAGAAGATAAAATTTTGAGATGGACAAGTATTAGTGATTCAAAGTTGTGGGTGGTTTCTGGAAAGACTGCTAGTTACAGAAAAAGGGAAAGAAGTAGTTGGTCAGTAAGTTGGAAGTTTGCTATGAGAAGTCTGCAGAAGAGGGAGAAGGTGGCATGTGACAGAATCAAATGATTAAATCTGACAGAATGGGCAGAGAGAAGACTTGTTATAAGGAAGCTGGCAAGTGGGAAGAATGCATTGGCTGTAAAAGTATGCAGACAAAATTCAATAAACATTTACACTGCATATGATCCCATCCTCTCTGACTCTCTCTCCTGTTACCCTTTCCTTCTCTCAATGTATTTCAGCCCTGTCAGCCTCCTAGCTGCCCTGCAAACATGCTGTTCTTATGTTAGTTCTTGCTGTTCTCTCTGCTTGGAAGTTCTTTTCCCCTTGAGATGTCCACGGCTGGCTCCTCACTTTCATCAGGATTCCACTTAACTGTTGCCTCTTTCATAAAGCCCTCCTGGACCCCCTATATAAAAGTGATCTCCCCAGCAGATCACTTCTGATTCCTTGATTTATTGTCAGTCTCTGCCTTCTAGATAGAAAGCCAATAACTGAGGGTCTTTGTTGTATTCACTGTGGTATCCCAATGCCTACAACTGTGCCTTGTACACAGTAGTTACTAGATGTTTGCAGAATAATGAAAAAACAAATGTTTAGGGAAGACTAACTATGTGCAAGGAACTTTTCTAATTGCTTTGTCAATACAATATTGTTCTCAAGTTCAAGAATCAGGGTTGCCTATCTTTATACAGTGATTGGCTACATGCCAGCCATAGCCCTAAGCCCTTTGCATCTATTCATTTTCTTAAATCCTCACAACAAAACAATAATGTAGGTACCAGTTATAGCTGATATTTGTACCAAGCGACACGATTATGCAGTAGTGGAACTAGGATTTGAACCCAGACAGTGGGAGTGTCAGCATCTGTTTCCTTAACAATGAACTAAAAGGAGAGGAAGAGGCTCTCAAGAAATATACAAATACAAGCTATAAGGGCTCAAAGGACTAAGTAAATCGTTCGTGGGTTTGGGGATGGGGAGAAGGGTAATAAGGTGTCAATTGAGACCTACCTGGAGAAAGGGGGAAGACTTCCCTTGGTGACAGTGTGTATAAATAATCCAGCAGCCACAGGGAGGGCAAATAGTTTCACAAACACTTAGAAATGGCTTCCACCCAAGTCATGGCCAACTGGCCTTGCAGCTGAGAGTGAGAGGGAATTTTAATTCCGTTTGCCTGGAGAACGGGTCAACTTGACCTTTCTTCTGAAAAGAGAGGCTTTACGCATTTGACTCCTGGGGACACAGAAGTCTGCGTTTTAATTTTGACTTCTCAAACAGTAACCATGGCCACAAGTGGTCTTATTGGTTTCTCTTTACCTTCCCAACTATTCCCGGCCTTACTGTGCTTCAGAAGGGCAAATGACCCTAGGGGTGGTGAGCGATAGCTGCTGGTTGACCTGCCTGGGAGATCTCAAATGAAACCTCCCACAAGGATGCCACCCCCTCTCTCCAAGGTGGTATTCTTCACCTCCGCCCTGCCCTGCGATGCTCACCTGGAGTCTAGAGCCAGTGTTTCCCCACACTTAGCCGAGTCGCATGACCGGTTCTAGCTTCAATGGGAAGTTTCCTGTCTAGGAGTTCCTGGCGCTCTGCCCAGCTCGGGAGAAGGGCATCTCCTTGCGCTTCCCCTCTGGTGTCCTTCAAACTCAGCCTAACTTTGGCACCAGTATTTCCAGTCTAGCTGTCCGAGTTGGAGCCCCTGGGGGCCGCAGCGGCGTTATTTGAAAAGGCGCGGCGCCTTCGAGCCCCTCCCCAGAGCAGGCGCTGCTCGCAGTGACAAGGGGTCCTAGAGGCGCCCACTGAGAGCCGCTGGCAACTTCCGGGGGTGCCCTGCCCAGCCCGAAGTCACCTCGGGTCTCTTTCAGGTCCATCTCCTCTGTCGCTAGAGGCACCGCACCACCAGCTGCGTTTTCCCATCCCCGTACCCACCCGCACCCCCCAGTCCGGTGACTCGGCAGCAGGTGGTAGGGGCGGCGCCCACGCGGGCGAGGGGCTGGGGTCCCCGTACTGTAGCCGCCGGTGCAGTTCGCCCGCTTCCAGCCGCTGCCGCCGAGCTGCCAGCGCCTCGGCCGCCCCCGCGCGCCCCGCGCGCCCCCGCCGCCAAGGGCCGCGCAGCGCCCCCGGCGCCCCCCGCCGGCCTCCTCCTGCACCTGCAGCCAGCTCCGCGCGCCCTGCCCGCCGCCGCCGCCGCCGCCGCCGAAGCTCTCTCTCCCAGCTCCACGGACGCCCCCGGGCCGAGCGGCGGTGCGCTCCGGTGCAGACCCGTCGACAGACGCCCCTGGCCGGTGGACTCCTGAGTCTCACTCCTGCACCCTGCGTCCCCAGACATGAATGTGAGGAGAGTGGAAAGCATTTCGGCTCAGCTGGAGGAGGCCAGCTCCACAGGCGGTAGGATGCAATAAGCTTGCGAGCGGGCGCCCGCTTCCGCCCTCCTTCCCTCGCGAGCCGAGACGGCTGCCCCTTCCCTTCCTCGGCTAGGGACGCTTGTTGCCTTCGCTGCATGAGACACAGTCACCTGGCGGGACTGGGAAGGGGAGGTGGGAGCGGCGGGAATGG